TCTAGTCAGCACTGTACCACAGCTGATGGCCTTGTTAGACAGCAGCTCTGTCCCATGCAAAGCTCGCCTTTCACCAACCCAAACCGGTCACAGTTCATCAGGTTCCCGTTCACCTAATACCGTACCACCAGCACTTTGCCTCACCTGATTCTGGTCGCCCTGTTCGACAGCATCTCTGTGCCGTGCGTCGCACAATTCACGAACCCAAAGCGGCCGCACTTGACCAGGTTCCCATTCGCCTTGTCCATCACCAGCACTTGGATCAGAGGTCCCATCTCCATCCATCACCACCTCGAATCACCTAATGGCCAAATGCAACGGCATCACACACCTCGCAGTATCATAGCGCCACTGAGCGAGAAATTGTAGTAATTCCGTTTTGAGTCGATATTAACACAGCGCCACTGAGCGAGTGATTGTAGTAATTCCGTTTTGAGTCGATATTATCATAGCGCCACTGGGCCTCACCTGATGGCCCGATGCATCAGCACCGTACCTCACCTGATGGCCCGATGCATCAGCACCGTACCTCACCTGATGGCCCGATGCATCAGCACCGTACCTCACCTGATGGCCCGATGCATCAGCACCGTACCTCACCTGATGGCCCGATGCATCAGCACCGTACCTCACCTGATGGCCCGATGCATCAGCACCGTACCTCACCTGATGGCCCGATGCATCAGCACCGTACCTCACCTGATGGCCCGATGCATCAGCACCGTACCTCACCTGATGGCCCGATGCATCAGCACCGTACCTCACCTGATGGCCCGATGCATCAGCACCGTACCTCACCTGATGGCCCGATGCATCAGCACCGTACCTCACCTGATGGCCCGATGCATCAGCACCGTACCTCACCTGATGGCCCGATGCATCAGCACCGTACCTCACCTGATGGCCCGATGCATCAGCACCGTACCTCACCTGATGGCCCGATGCATCAGCACCGTACCTCACCTGATGGCCCGATGCATCAGCACCGTACCTCACCTGATGGCCTTGTTAGGCAGCATCTCAGTGCCGTGCATGGCTCGCTTCACAAACCCCAACCGGTCGCACCGCAATTGACCAGGTTCCCAGTCGCTTTGTCCATCACCAGACCTCGGATCAGCAGTCCTCACCGGTCCCGATATACAATGCCACGTACCAGCACTGTGTCTCGTCCGATGGCCGTACTAGATAGCACCTTTCATGGCGGCTCTATGTAACAGCGGCGCACACCTGATGGCCTTGTTCGACAGCATCACTGCTGTGCCTCACCTGATGGCCTTGCTCGACAGCATCACTGCTGTGCCTCACCTGATGGCCTTGTTCGACAGCATCACTGCTGTGCCTCACCTGATGGCCTTGTTCGACAGCATCTCTGTGCCGTGCATGGCGCGCTTCACGAACCCAAACCGGTCGCACTTGACCAGGTTCCCATTCGCCTTGTCCATCACCAGACCTCGGATCACGAGGTCCGGGTCGAACCTAAGCCCCTCGGTTGGGTAGCCCTTGCTTCGGAGATTCTCCATGGCGTAGTCGTAGGCTCGGCCCTCCCAAGCCTGGGTGGGAGAAGCAGGTTCGGAGGAGGGGAAAAGGGAATGGAAGAGGACGAACAGGAGACTTAGGGAAGGATTGAGTGGGAGAGTTGGTGAGGGAGGTGTGGCACATTCTTCTGGAGACACTACCTAGACCGTGCCTTCAATGGTCGACGGGGTACTCACAATAGTACATTCACGTTATTGTGTATCAGAGAGTAGAGTGTAGTCCACGTCCACCTCAAGGGCAATGGGGTGCTCACATTGACGTTATAATGAATTAGGGCATGGTCCATGTCATATTGGATAGGATATGGTACATAATACATAAATTGACACTATAGTGTAGCAGAGAGTAGTCCACGTAATCACTATAGGGATACTTACATTGACGTTATAGTGAATCAGGGTGTAGTCCATGTCGTATCCAATGGTTGTGATTGATCGCAGGTTCAGTGTGCGGCTGCAGAAGATGCCGCGCGATGCCAGCCCATGCGGGAATTGTGGCTGCAGGGGGTTAAGCACGAAAAGAAACAGACAGAGATCAGGGAAACAAAACGCGGACGGGGAATCCGATAGTGATTATTGCAGGATGAGAGTGCAACTGCAGAAGATGCCGCAGGATGCCAGCCCATGCAGGAATTGGGGCTGCAGGGGGAATGAGAATGGAGAGGGAAGGACAGAGGAGGGAGCATACAGAACAGCACTGGGAACCAGGGAGGAACACTGGGAAGCAGAGAGGAGCACTGGGAAGCAGAGAGGAACACTGGGAAGCAGAGAGGAGCACTGGGAAGCAGAGAGGAGCACTGGGAAGCAGAGAGGAACACTGGGAAGCAGAGAGGAACACTGGGAACCGACAACTAGGGTTTCGGGCTTCCACAAAATACACCCTCTGGACTTTTTCCTAGAGTTACAATCCCTCGCAGTCACACTCACTTACAGGCACACCCAGCTGCTCCAGCAGCAGCTCGGCCTCGTCTGCCTCTGCCTTTGCGAGCTCCTCAATAGGGCCTATGCCTGTGTCTATGTCCAGGTCAAAGGCCCGTCGCCCCTCGTTCTCTGATAGGTGGAGAAAGGGAAGCAGAGGAAGAAGGGGGTTCGGCTTCCTACACTGAGAATCCCCTGTGTGGTGTGGTGACAGGAGGATATGGTTACCACCAGCATCGACAGGCAGATCAGGAAGAACCATATCCCCCTTAGTGCACTCCCCGAGCTAGTCTTTCCTGCTGTCCCTTGACAAACTACATGAAAAAACTCCTCCCCATAGACTGAAAGCAGAATTTGAACGTACCAAGGTCTACAGGCAGATCAGGAAGCACCATGTCCCCCTTAGTGCTCTCCCCGAGATAGTCTATCCTGCTGTCACTAGATGACCACACCACGCGAAACACCTCCTCCCCTCCACTATCACTATCACTTCCACTGCCGCTGTCGCTGCCAGCGCCTTCCCCTTCTGACCCGCTCCCTCCTCTTCCTCCTACAGTCACTTTCTTCCCCTTCACTGTTATCCCCTTCTTAGTCCCCTTCGATATTGTCACATTTGTGCTCGACTCTGTGGTAGCCGGAGTCCCAACAGCAGCAGCAGCAGCAGCAGCCGCGGAGTCACTCTTTTCTGATCCGATGCTGCCTTTTCCATCCCTCCCGTTTCTTCCCCAGCCGCAAATTGCGCCTCATTCCCCGCCGCGTTTTCCGGCGTCTTTTCCAGAAGCTCGCCTTCCAGCAGCGCAGCGGCGGCTGCGACGCCGAGCCTCGTCCACGCCAGCCTCCGGAAGCGCCTCTTCCGAAGCGCTCAGTGCCAGCTGGGCTGCCACGGTGGCGGAATCATCCGCCACGTCATCCGGCGCAGCAGTGGTACTTTCCCCGCCATCCGCGTTATTAGCAGCTGCAGCCCTAACCGCGCGGACTGCGGAGTTCGCGCGAACGGTGGGTACGAAACGAGGCGTTTTAGAAAGGCGAGGTAGAGTGGAGCTAAGAGTTCTGGGCGTGACGGAAGGTACTCTGGAGGGAAACGTGTGACGGAGTACGGCGGAGGTAGTTCGTTGGATGGAATCATGCTGCTGCTGCAGGAACAGAGAGGAGGATCTCCCAGGCTGCGATATCTGGGAGGAATTTCCACGACATTTCGCTAGACAGGACGCATGGCATTAGCAATTCTAGTCCAAAGAAGGAATGGTTAACGCGTTCCGACTTGGCGCGGTGATTGATTGATCCATTTTGCTCAAGCCGACCTGGCCGCACACGAGAGCTGAAATTGTTCTAGTATGAATGAACTGCTATAGACTGTTACGAGAAGGGCTACCGCCTCTCACCGCGACTCCTGCTCACTGAAATATCGAAGGACATGGTTAGGCTCTCTGGTGGTATTTTCTGGGTGATCATGTGACTGCGAGCAGGATGATACACCTGTTTTCCTATTTAGTTTTACGTTTTTGGTCCGCGGCTCAAACCTGTAAGCAGGAAATTGTAAAACACGGGCAAACGGGAACTTGAAGGGGAAATCCCACAGTAAACAATAACACTTGGTTATAAAATCTCGCTCATGCACTAGATTAGTTGCCCGCGCGACGTCCCAGCTCTGAAACTCGCAATTGTCGAAATACAACTTTGCTATTCGCTATCGTTCAGACTGCAGCCAATCAGGTTCAGTGTCAACGCAAGTCATGCTGAGAACCTGGTAGGTAAGATTACAATTTAGACTGTTCCGGGTAAGCCGATAAAAGGTGTACTGCAAGGTGCTGAAAATGCACTGCTCTTGAACAGACGATACCGACTTGTACCGCTTTGTGATGTCAGGAGCCTTGAGGACGTGAAGTCAGGGGAGCTCTCTGCTTTCTGTCTGGCTGGCACTCCCACCAGAATCAAGTGACGGTTTGACCGTTTTCTGGTCAGGCGAGGCGAAAGCGCTGATTCCCTGCCTCGAGATTCTCTCCCCGAGTTGATGGCGGGAAGTGTTGCGATTGGTGCTTCAGCATTCTATGTGCAAAAAAGGAATCTCCGTTTGGACATTCCATGATACTTCCTCACATATCGGAGCACAATAACTCTATAAGGTTGTTTCCTCAAATGTACAAGGGACTTACCAACACATTTGACATAGATGGGACAACCATGCTACTATGCATATGGCCGGTTCCACGGTTGCTAGTTTTGAGGGAAAAAAATGGTGCTTATGGGGCGTATTAAATACCTTTTCACCATTGTTTTTCAGTCTCGTCTAATTTGCCAGGTGCAAGCAAAGCTACTATACATGGAATCAAAGCTATATAATATCGCAAGTTCTTAATTTCTCGTGTCATATATATATATAAGAAACGAGTAACATTGAATTAATATAATGTCCATGTATCTATACTCGCTACACTGCAACGACCACAGATCTCCCAGTGAGGTTGCCTTGTTTTCTGGAAACCCACCTCCCCTCCCAACACCAGCTGAGCAGTATGGCGATCCCAAGGAATCTGTTCAGCGGGATCCAGCACATTCATCATCAGTGGAGTGGTGTACTGTAGTGTAGAAACCTGAGCATTCAGCAGTTATGGCTCAGACTTCAGGAGTATAGGAGACAGCAGCAGCTTTAGGAACGACTAAGGCGAAGCTTTACGGTTGGCCCGCGTGGTGTCCGTCCATCCAGCGTCAGCCGATGCATGTCCATAATAGCTCGCCAAGGGAGTGTAAATGCGCGCTGCGACCTGGCTCTATGTGTGAAAGCAGCACGAAATTATCTGATATTAGTGTAATGACCTGTTAGAAGTCGAGTGTCCGCTTGTTGGTCACTCCCCGTCGACGGAACGACAATATTGAACCGCCTTGCGAAGCCAAATCCAAGTTCATCCTTTCGCGATTGCTGATCTTTTGCACTAGTGACTGGCACTTACTGAATTCAACCATTCTACTGATCCCACTTTCTCCTTTATACTTAGCTGGTAGAAACGTCCGTTAGCTGGCTTTCGCGTGATATCTCGCGTCCACTTAGCAGCTGCATCGTAAGCCACGACCTTTCTGGTAGCAAAACGCATTGACCCTTTCGGGAGTCTGGTTGAGTGACAGCTGGCATCTGGTTGACAGCGTGGGCATTTGCAAGTAGCTGGCAAGATGAGGGGAGGCAAGTTCCAGCAGAAGGTGTGGAGGACGGCAGCGCGCGGAACTCGGAGGCGCTTTTCGAGACGCGCTCTATCGCGGATATCGGTGGCAATCGAGGCGCGCAACGAGGAAGGAGGTGGAGGAGAAGAAGGAGGAGCTGCGGCAGTTGGTCGGTGCGAGCTACCGCCATCTCATCGAATCCGCTGACTCGATTTTAGACATGCGACGGTAAGTTGAGTCGACTCAGAAGTCCCTTCGGCGTTCAGGATGTCACATGCGCGAGGAAGGAGGTGGAGGAGAAGGAGGTGGAGGCGGAGGAGGAGGAGCTGCGGGCAGCTGGTCGGCGCGAGGTACCGCCATCTCATCGAATCCGCTGATTCCATTCTCGACATGGGACGGTGAGCGCGGTTATTGGACTCTTTCGTGACTCATTGTCAGGAAAAGGAGGAGCTGCCGCGGCAGCTGGTCGGCGCGAGCTACCGCCGTTTGATTGAATCCGCGGACTCGATTCTCGGCATGGGAGGTACGTGGGGATCTTGGGATAAGTCTTCTGTTCCTTGGTTTAAAAAGTCCACCATGGAGGAAGGAGGATGCAGGGAAGGAGGAAGGAGTTGGAGGAGAAGAAGGAGGAGCTTAGACAGTTCTTTCAGCGCGAGCTACCGCCATCTCATCGAATCCGCAGACTCGATTCTCCACATGCGACGGTGAGTGGGGAGGTAGCTGGAAGTTTTGGGGTCAACAGGACTCGATCCCTGGACTTGCGACGGTGAGTGCAGAAGTTGGGCATTTGCGTATTGTCAGATTTCACAGGTCGCGCGAGGCTGTGGTGCGAAACGTGGCATCCATGGTGTCGGATTTCTCTCATCTCCATTTCTCGCATCTCATCTCGCATGCTTTGGTGTGTGCATCTCATCCCGCACACGCATGTTCGATATCCCTCACATGCCACAGGTCATGCGAGGCTGTGGTGCGAAACGCGGCAGCCATGGAGTCGGATTTCTCTCACCTTCATCTCTCGTGTCTCATCTCTTGTGATTTGGCGTGTGCATGAGAATGCCCCACACGCGTATCTTCATGTTCCCCTCACATGCCACAGGTCATGCGAGGCTGTGGTGCGAAACGTGGCAGCCATGGAGTCGGATTTCTCTCTCCTGCACAAAACCATCTCCACCACAACCACCCACCACTCCTGGTGCCGATGCCAAACGCAAGGTGAGCATCTGGGTGGTTACAAAGTAAACAAGGTTGGCATCAGAGTTTGTTTCATAGCATTGCAATCTCACTCTCCTGCACAGACAAATCTCCACCACCGCCACCACCACCACCACCACCCCCATCACCACCACCACCACCACCCACCACCCACCACCACACAACCGGGCCACCCACCACCCACCACCACCACCACCACCACCGCCACCACCACGCCTGGGCCGCTGACGCCAAACGCAAGGTGAGCGCCTGGCTGGTTACCAAATACAAGGGCCTGTTACAGGCTCTGGTTCTGGAGTATCATGGCCTGGGTCTGTCTGGACGAGAGAATGTTCCTGGAAGTAGCAGCGCAGGGGCTCATGTGCGCATGGGACGAGCACCAGCTACTGTCCCTGCCGGTTGCCCATACAATGTTACAAAGTTACCCCACTCCATCCCCCAATCCTACAATCTCAAGGAGGCCCTGTAATGGGTTGGGCAGCTGGGTGGAAGCATCTCGTACGCCAGAGAAGATCTGGAGAAGTGCCTGACCCCTGAAGTGTTACCCCTGTTGCCTGTATGAAACCCCTTCTTTCAAACCCCACAGGCGCCAGGAAGCCCTATATGCGCTGGGCAGCCCGGGTCAAGTACCTGGTGGACACTCCAGAGAAGATCTGCGGCTATCTCTGAAATGTTACCCTGTTACCCCTTCTTTCAACCCCCACAGCGCAAGGAAGCCCTGTATGCTCTGGGCAGCCGGGTCAAGTACCTGGTGGACACTCCAGAGAAGATATGGGGCTGTCTGGACGAGAAGAATGTTCCTGGAAGCTGCCCAGCGGTTCATGCGCGCATGGGAGGTGCACCAGCTGCTGTCGCCCTCCACGAGTGCTGGAGGAGAAGGAGCAGCAGCAGGGGGCGGGTGGCAGGCGCAGCAGCAGGGGCTCATGGCGTCGTTCCCTCTGCTGAGGCACCAGTGGCCGCTTGTGGAGACGTTTCGCACCCAGGTGAGTGGAATGAGTGGCAACAGCAGTTTTTGTCCTATGTGAGGCACAAGTAGACCTGCCATGACATTGTTGTCCATCCTTCCTCTGCTGAGGCACCAGTGGCCCGCTTGTGGAGACGTTTCGCACCCAGGTGAGTGGAGTGAGTGGCAGAGCTGCACCCAGGTGAGGAGTGAGTGGCAGAGTTGCACCCAGATTAGTGAGTGGCCATGGCAGGCGAATCTCGGCACTTGCATTGTTAAAATGTTTCTTGCGCTTCTTGGCTTTAACAGAAACCATTCTCGTCGTCACCACCCCAAGTGTCACACACACACATCTGTGTATCCTGCGTCTTTGCTGCAAGGAAGAAGGTGATAAGCAGTGCAGGCTGGGCGGGGGGGTACTTCTAGCAGGGCCTCCTCCGAATTGCAAGGACATCTCGCTCAGAAACCATCTGTTCTTGTCTCGCTGTTTTTGAGAATTCTACAAAATGACTTCAAATTCTTGACAGGAGCAGGGAGTGCCTGCACGATGCTTCTCGCATTCCAGCGGCAGGGGTGGGGGAGTACATAGCAGCTTTGGCAGCGGTGACCCTGACTTGCCCACCCACCCATTTCCCCTTCGTCCAAGATCGTTGACAGGAGCAGGGAGTGCCTGCACGACGCTTCTCGCATTCCAGCAGCGGGGGTGGGTGGGAGAGTACGTAGCAACTATGGCAACCTAAATGGTGTCTGAAACACCACTTGTTCATGTCTCCTTGACCCCCCCTGTGAATCTCGCCCACAACCAGATCGTTGACAGGAGCAGGGAGTGCCTGCACGATGCATCGCGCATTCCCAGCAGCGGGCGTCGAAGAGTACGCAGCGGCGCTGGCAGCACTGGCAGTGATGGAGCAGCTCTCTTCTCACGACCTGCTCAAGCTATTTTTGGATGCTCGTAGAGCGTGCTTGCGCTCCCAGGTATGTGCGTGTGTGGCGCTTCCGCTCGGCACGTGTGTGGCCCCGGCCCTTTCGCTCTGCACGTGTGTGGCCCCCGGCCCTTTCGCTCTGCACGTGTGTGGAATGACAGTGAAAGAGGGAGAGAACTCGCAGCGCGCTGGCAGCGGTGGCAGTGATGGAGCAGCTCTGCCCGCATGACCCGCTCAAGCTCTTTCTGGACGCACGTAGAGCCTGCTTGCGCTCCCCAGGTGTGTGTGCGTGTCCCCCTCTCCCTGTATATGTGCGAGAGAAAGGAAAGGGGTGGGAGAGTGCGCATCAGTGCTGGCAGATATGGCAGTGCTGGCAGTTATGGCAGTGCTGGCAGTGCTGGCGGTGATGGCAGTGATGGCAGTGATGGCAGCAATGGCTGCACTGACAGCACTGGGCAGCAGCAGAAGTGATGGAGCAGCTCTCTTCTCACGACCTGCTCAAGCTCTTTCTGGACGCACGTAGAGCCTGCCTTGCGCTCCCAGGTTTGCCCCCTCAACCATTCCTTCCTCTCACCCTGGCTTCAAGTCCGTGGGAAGTGGGAGAGGGAGAGTACGCAGCAGCAGCACTGGGCAGTGATGGAACAGCTCTCTCCGCACGACCTGCTCATGCTTCTTTTTGGACGCACGTAGAGCCTGCTCGTGCTCCCAGGTGAGTCTCCCCCAGGTGCACCTTCCTCCTTTCCTACCTCCTGTTTACCCTCGTGAATTGCCTGGCATTCAGCATGCCCTCCCGTCCTAATGTGCGTGCTTTCAAATCTCTTTTTTAGTCGAATCAAAGTTCACCTCCCGTCCTAATGTGCGTGCTTTCAAATCTCTTTTTTAGTCGAATCAAAGTTCACCTCCTGTCCGAATGTGCGTGCTTTCAAATCTCTTTTTTAGTCGAATCAAAGTTCACCTCCCGTCCTAATGTGCGTGCTTTCAAATCTCTTTTTTAGTCGAATCAAAGTTCACCTCCTGTCCGAATGTGCGTGCTTTCAAATCTCTTTTCTAGTCGAATCAAAGTTCACCTCCTGTCCGAATGTGCATGCTTTCAAATCTCTTTTTTAGTCGAATCAAAGTTCACCTCCTGTCCGAATGTGCGTGCTTTCAAATCTCTTTTTTAGTCGAATCAAAGTTCACCTCCTGTCCGAATGTGCGTGCTTTCAAATCTCTCACATGCTGTTTGAAATGTCAAAGACTCATCTTCTGCCTGGTTCACTTCCTCCCCTCTCTCCTCCCCCTCCAGCTTGTGTCTGCCACTTCAACTGTGGGCGCTGGGGGGGGCTTTGCGGACGGACTGGCATCATTGCTCAGTCAACTGGTGGCCATGATTCAGGTGTGCATGCCTGTGCAGTGCTTGAGGCACCTCAAAACACAACAAGGAGCTTGCGGACGGACTGGCATCATTGCTCAGTCAACTGGTGGCCATGATTCAGGTATAACCATGGAGTGCTTGAGGCACCTTAAAGCATAACTATGAGTTTTTCTGTGGCCTGCCTGGCATCGCTGCTCAGTCAACGGGTTGCCATGACTCAGGTACGACTATGGGGGGTCACGCTCCTACCCCCCCCCCCCCCCCCACCCCCTTCGCCCTCTTTCCCCAACCACACCTCCCCCTTTCTCCCGCCCCTTCCCCTCGTTTCTTCTCCACACATCCCTCCACCCAAACCACCCCCCCCCCCGCCTCTTTCTCTTCCGCTTCTCTCCTTACCTGTCCGCCTCTACTCATCCCTCCCCTATCCCCTCACCCACACCTCCCCCCCCTTCCCTCACCTCCTCCGCACCCTCCCCCCTCCCCCCCTCTCCTCACTGCCTTCCATTTCCCCCCTTCCCCCCCCTCCCCCCCCCAACCCCCACCGTCAGATCACCCTGTGCCAGACGGGGCAACTTTTCCTGGAAGTTTCCTCGTCCGATACAGCAATACTGTAGGGGTGACGGGTTCCTTCCCCCCTCCGTATCCCCCCTATCTTTCGATATTTCCCCACTCTCCTCCACACTCACTCCCTCCCCCCCCACGTCAGCTAACCCTGTGTCAAACGGGGCAGCTCTTCCTTGAAGTTTCCTCGTCCGATCGAGCGATTCTCTTCGCGACGCTGCTGCAGGGCGCACCGCAGGCGCAGCTGTTTGGGGGCATCCCCCAGCCGGACAGGGAGGTGGCGCTGTGGCACCGCCACAGGGAGGGGATGGAAGCCAGACTGCCGTCGCTGAGCAGCAAGGAGGTGGCAGAGGCGTGCCAGGGATGGCTCAGGGCGTGCGCTGCTGACATTGCTGGTGAGCTTGTGACTGTTGGCTGTGTGTGTTTGTGGGAACGAGAGAGGTGGCGCTGTGGCACCGCCACAGGAGGGGTTGGAAGCCAGACTGTCGTCGCTGAGCAGCAAGGAGGTGGCTGAGGCGTGCCAGGGATCGTTGAAGGCGTGCGCTGCTGACATTGCTGGTGAGACTTTGGGTGTAGACTGCATGTGTGTCAGGTGTACCCAGCCATCCAGACAGGGAGGTGGCGCAGTGGCACCGCCACAGGGAGTTGGAAGCCAGACTGCCTTCTCTGAGCAGCAAGGAGGTGGCTGAGGCGTGCCAGGGATCGTTGAAGGCGTGCGCTGCTGACATTGCTGGTGAGTTTCCAGGTTTTTTTAGCGGGGCGCCATACGCCAGCCAGAGAAAAAGTCTGTTGCAGTCCCCAGCCAGACAAAGAGTTTGCTGTAGTTCCCATGCAGCCATGCAGCCACACAGGGAGGTGGCGCTGTGGCACCGCCACAGGGAGGGGATGGAAGCCAGACCGACTTCTCTGAGCAGCAAGGAGGTGGCAGAGGCGTGCCAGGGATGGCTGAAAATCATCCCTATTTTTCCTACTCCCCCCCCACTCCCCTCCCACCAGCCGAATAAAGGAACCTCCTCTGCAGGGTCACCCATTTGACTTTGATTTGATTCGTCTTAGAAAATCATCGCTATTTCTCCTCCTCCCCCCCCACTCCCCTCCCCCCCCACTCCCCTCTCCCCCCCCCCCCACCAGCCGAATCCAGGAACCTTCTCAGCAGGGTCACCCAGATCCGCCACCTGGCGCAAGCAGAGGCTGCCACGCGTGCAGCGATCGCCAGCAAGGACATCTTCGCCGCCAGCCTGGACTGGCTGACGTCAGCCTTTGGCTCCACCCCTGACTCGCCCTGGCGTGCCCTCTGCGAGCTGCTCCTAAAAGAGCCAAAGGACCTATGGGGCGAGTTATTCGAGGCCGCGTTCGCACTTAGGGCGCGGGAGATTATAGATGCAGCGTTTGCGGAGCTGACTTTGAGGGAGGAGATAGATGGGGTGTTGAGGGAGGTTGGGGATGTGGTGGCGGTGGCAGCGGTTGTTGCAGCCGAGAACGCCGTTTCTTCTGCTGGTGCTGCTGGTGGTGGTGCTACTGGTGGCACTGCTGCTGCTGCTTCTGCTGCCGCTGCTGCTGCTGCTCGTGGTGTTGGTGCAACCAGCGCACTTTCTGCTGCTGCTTTCGGCAGTGAGAAAGCAACCGGATTCACAGGCGGAGACAGGGGGTTGGGGGCGGGTTGGGCTAGGCTCCCCTCTCTCACTGACGTGTTAGGCCAAGCAGGGTTCGAGGAGACAGGCGGTTTTGCTGTAGGGGAGGCAGTCTGGGGCAGTTTGGGAGACGAGTTAGGCGTAGCAGGGCTAGGGAGAGGCGGGGAGGAGGGGCAGGAGGAGGGGGGAAGGAGGAGGGACGGAGGGGGAATGGGGAGGTGGTTTTGCGTGGCACGCAGGCGTATGAGCCCCAGGTAGTGGTGGTATGGCAGTTGTTGGATTCCAGAATCCAGGAGATTCTTTTGGACGCTCTCACTCTCCTCCTCCCCCACTCCTCACTCGCTCCTTCCGCCCATTCCTCCTCCCCCTCCTCCACCTCCCCCTCCTTCTCTTCTGCTTACACTCCCAGCGCCACTGCTCCTGCTGCTTCAGCAGCCTCCCGAACCAAGGAGCTGGCTCCGTACCTGCAGGATCGGTGCCACGAGTGTATGATGCGGCTGGTGGGGCTGCTAGCAAGCAGGCTTGGAGACCTTCAGAAGCAGCAGCAGGCTGAAGAGGCAAGCAGAGGAACAGGAGAGAATGGAGAAGTCGAGAAAGACTGTAAATCTGAGGCAGCGGCAGCTGCGCCAGGGGGAGTAGCAACTTCAGATGAGGGATTAGGATCCAACGGTCCAGATGCAGTGAATGCTCTAGGGGGGCTACCCGCACAAGTGGCAGTGGAGCAGGCTCTCCTGATTGGACGGCTGGCGGCGGCAGTAGCGCAGAGCTCCTCCTCTCTAGCTGTAGCCCTGGGCCCATCTTCCACCTGGTCGGCTGTAGCAGCAGCTGCTGCCGCTACAGGTAGTGATGGCGCTACTGCTGCTGGTGCTGAATATTCTCCTGAGACAGCTGCTGCGGAATCAGCTTATGGGGTGGCACCAGGGGCTACAGGAGCTGCAGCTTCGGAAGCTAGTAGCAGGGCAGCTTATAACGGGGATGCTGGAAGGGATGTGGCAAGGGCTGGGGAGCCGAAGTTACAGTGGCCGGCGCAAGAGGTTGTAGCGAATATAATCGCTGCAACAGTGGCAGGGGGTGGCAGCAGTGGCAGTGGCAGTAGCGGTGGTGGTGGGGGGGGTGGGCTGAGCTGGATGGGGGGAGGGGGAGGGGGGGGACTGGGCAGGAGGGGAGGGAGGAGAGCAACGGATCTTGCTGCCGTTACGGCAAGATCGGCTGAATTCGCTCGGCTCCACGAGATTCAGGTGAGCGGGGCAGTGAGCTGGATGCTTGGGATGGGTAGTGTGGTGGCGCTGGTGCTGAAGTATCGTGGCTTACTCACAGCACTGGGTGAATGAATGATGTGATTCATTCATTCATTACTCACATCACATCACATCACATCACATCACATCACATCACATCACATCACATCACATCACAGCACAGCACATCACATCACATCACATCACAGCACATCACATCACAGCACATCACATCACATCACATCACATCACACCACACCACACCACACCACACCACACCACATCACAGCAATGAATGAATGAATCACGGCACTGTGTTCGTGCCTGACTCTTGTGCTGTGCCTACTGGTTTCAGCCTAGAGTGTTTTTTTCCCCTTCCATACCGTGTTATGCTTATCTACAGAGGGAGCTGCGTCGCCTGAGCATCTTGGCCCACTCGCACTGGGTGGACCACAGCACTCATCTGCTCGCCTCTGCGTTTCGGCACAATCTGCTGCATGACCCGGCTCTTGCCACCACCACGCCCCTCAAGGTGAGGCTCTTTTCCCCTGACTCACCTCTTAACTCGCCTAACGTTAAGGCGTGCACTGGGTGAGCCACGTCCCTCAACTGCCTGCGTTTCTGGCACAATCTTCTGCACATCCCGGCACTTGCCACCTCAGGGCGAGAAATATCTCTTTCCTCAAGGTAAGGGCTCCGTCTCACCCACCTTGAGAAGTGTACTGGGTCGACCACAGCAATCGTCTGCTCGCCTCTGCTTTCCATCGCAATTTGTTGCACGACCCGGCTCTTGCCACCTCCACTCCACTCAAGGTAATGGTTCTGTCTTTTCTGAGGATAAGGGCTCCTTCCCTCCCAGTTTGAGAGGTGCAGTGGGTGCACTCTTCTTCTCTCCTCTGCTTTCCGTGGCAATCTCAAAAGCGGGGACCTGGAGGGGAGCGCGGAGATTGCGATGTGCATGACTGCTTTTGAGTCGACTTAAAAGCGACAGCAGGGTCATGCACATCTCAATCTCCGACCTGGAGGGGGGCGCGGAGATTGCGATGTGCATGACTCTGCTGGCCTCTCGGTTGATCCCCATCCCCTCACTCCTTTAGGGCTGGGAAGAAGCAGTGGTGCAGCAGCAGCAGGAGGAGGAGGAGGAGGAGGAGGGGGGGACTCCAAGGTGGATGGAAATGTGCGTTTCCAGTTCAATTGGAGTGAGGGAATGGGGAGATCAGCAGAGAGGCCAGCAGAGAGGCCAGTAGAGAGGCCAGTAGAGAGGGGAACCTGCTGGTTTCATCTGCTGATCCCATCCCCTACGGATAAGGACGGGGAGGGGGAGGAGGAGGGAGAGCAGCAGGAGGAGGAGGAGGAGGAGAGAGGAGGGAGAGCAGCAGGAGGAGGAGGAGGAGAGAGGAGGGAGAGCAGCAGGTGGATATGCTGCCTGCCGGCCTGCTGATAAAAGTGCATTTCCCTTTCCCTTTTCTCCCGGTCCTTTCTTGCCTCTCCTGTAGGGTTGGGAGGAGACGGTGGCACAGCAGGAGGAAGAGGAAGGGGAGGCAGAGTTCGAGATGCGCATGGCACTGCCCGCCTGCCCCTCGCCCCTTTCCCTCATGATTCTATGCTTCACCTACCCACCCCTCCTCTCCCTCCCCCCCACCACCGCCACCACCTCCCCCTAACCCCCGTTCTCCCTGTACCCCGTGCAGGGCTGGGAGGAGACGGTAGTGCAGCAGGAGGAGGAGGAGGGGGAGGCGAAGGTCGAGATGCGCATGACGCTACCCGCCTGCCCCTCGCCCTACGTGGCGGCTTTGCTCTTTGCTGCCTCAGCTGACGTGCACCGCGCGGGCTGCCACTCCCTCGACCGCCTAGTACTGAGGCTCTTTGCCTGGCAGCTGTCAGACCAGGTAAGGAGAACCATGCGCCTCAGACCTTAGAAGTTCGAAATGCTCATGACTCTGCTGGCCTTCCCCTCGCCCTATGTGGTGGCGCTGCTGTTTGCGGCCTGGCTGACGTGCACCGGACTGACGTGCACCGGACTGGCGAGGGTCTAGTACTTCTCTTCTTTGCCTGGCAGTTGTCAGACCAGGTACGAGTGATCTGTGTGGCGGCACTGTTCCTTTCTGCCTCGGCTGATGTGCACGCTGGCTGCCACCCCCTGGACCGCCTTGTGCTGAGGCTGTTCGCCTAGGAGATACCAGACCAGGTGAGTGTACCAAGGGAGACAGGGGAGGACGGGTTTGACATTCTATGCTGTTCTGATGAGTCTAGTTTTGAGGCGCCTCAAAACTGGATTTTGAGGCGCCTCAAAACCAGGGGAGGACGGGTTTGACATGCTATGCTATTCAGATGAGTCTACCCTCTGCTACATGCCCTCCGCCCTCTGCCCTCGGCCTAGGGCATCGGGGAAGGGCGTTCGTCAGCTGCTCTTGACATGCACCTGCTGGCAGGCTGACTTTTGAGTCGACTCAAAAGTCACCTTCCTCAGGTGCTCTTGACATGCACCTGCTGGCAGGCTCGAGCCGCTCACTCTCTCCCCATGCCCATGCCCATGCCCATGCCCATGCCCATTCGCCTCCCTCCCTCCCGGCCTCCCCCCTATCAGGTCTTCCAAGCCTACGAGACCCTCACCACCACGCAGCGTGCATCAGAGAAGGGCATGCTGCTCCTGCTGGCAGACGCGCTCTCAGGAGGCGCTCTCAGGAGGCGCTCTCAGGAGGCGCTCTCTCTCTCCCTCATGCGAATTCTCCTCCCTCCCTCGCTCCCTTCCCCCTGTCAGGCCTTCCAAGCCTACGAGACCCTCACCACCACTCAGCGTGTATCTGAGAAGGGCGTGCTCCAGCTGCTGTTTGATGTGCGCCTGCTGGCAGACGTGCTCTCCGGTGGAGCAGACCTGCCGCTAGAAGCGCTCCGGCTCAGCAGCGCTTCACCACCAGCAGCAGCAGCGGGGGGAGCAAGAGGGGGGGCAACAGCAGGAGGGGCAGGGGCGGGGAGTATTGCTGCGTCAGTGGCAGCGAGGAAGAAGCGAGTCGGGGCTCTGCTGGAGAAGCTGCAGGATGAGCTGGACCCCATCGACAGAGCAGCGTAAGAATGGCATGTTCACAGGTGGTAGCCCCTAGGTGTGTTCAGGTGGTAGCCCCGTGGTAGCCCCTAGGTGTGCACAGGTGGTAGCCCCGTGGTAGCCCCTAGGTGTGTACAGGTGGTAGCCCCGTGGTAACCCCTAGGTGTGTACAGGTGGTAGCCCCGTGGTAGCCCCTAGGAGTGTTCAGGTGGCATTGGTGCGTTGTTGGCAGCGAGGAAGAAGCGGATGGCGGGTCTGCTGGAGAAGCTGCAGGATGAGCTGGACCCCATCGGTAGGGCAGGCAGCGTAATGACTAAAACCCAACCCCTATATGTGTACCAATGAGCTCGACCCCATCTACAGAGCAGCGTGGGGCGGGGACTGCAGCTCACTTGCGCCTCCTGTCTCAGACATTTCGTTTCCCCTCAATCGCTCGGCCCCTTTCTCCCTATCCTCCCTTCTTCTCTTGAACAAATGACCACTCCCTCCACCCACACTCCAATCTCCCTCTCTTATTCCGTTCCCCTTCCCAATGCCTCGCCCCCTCACTCCGTTCCCCCTTACGTTCCCCTATCCACCTCTCCTTCTTCTCCCCTCTCCTCACACTCAACCCCCCCCCTCAGCTACCTGCCCTTCCTGTGGCAGAACCAGCAGCGCTTCTACCTGCGCTCGGCAGTGCTCGTCGGCCATCCGGCCCACCTGCACCGCCTCTATACGGACTCTGCTTTTCACTTGAAACTCTCCTTTCGTATTTTGAGTCGACTCAAAATACACGAAATACTGACTCTGTTTCTCACTTGAAACTCTCCTTTCGCTCTCTCTCGTCTACCTGCGCTCGGCAGCGCTCTTCTGCCATCCGTCCCACCTGCATGGCCTCTATACCGTCTCTGTTTCTCACATGAAACTCTCCTTTCGCTCCCTCTCCTTCCCCCTTCAGCTATCTGCCCTTCCTGTGGCAGAACCAGCAGCGCTTCTACCTGCGCTCGGCAGTGCTCTTCGGTCATCTGGCCCAGCTTCACCGGCTCTACACTGACTCTGCGCCCCGCCACCCCTATGCTACGGACGCCAATACGCTTGACACGGCACCGACCGTTCCGCGCTTCACATTCCTCCCTATAAGGCAAGTCACGTCCTCCGTATAGGGTAACTCGCTAATCAGTGCTCTTCGGCCATCTGGCCCAGCTTCACCGGCTCTACACTGACTCTGCGCCCCGCCACCCCTATGCCATGGATGCCAATACTCTTGACACTGCACCGACTGTTCCGCGCTTCACCTTCCTCACTATAAGGTAACCTTCTAACCTCTCTGTAAGGTGTCTCGCTAACCTCTCTGTAAGGTGTCTCGCTAACCTCTCTGTAAGGTAGGTAACTCTCTAGTCAATGCTCTCCGGGCATCTGGCTCATCTGCACTGGCTGAATTTTCAGGGTATTTTTGAGAATTCTCAAAAATATATGGCTCATCTGCACTGGCTGAATTTGATTCTCCACCCCGCCAACCATAACCATAACCAAACCCCCCTTCCTCTCCTCTCTCCCCCCCCGCCCCCTCCAGCTCTCCTCTTCTGACCAATGGGGGGTTGGCACCTGGCGGTAAGCCCCGCCGTCCGTCCACCTTTGGAGACGTCTCACTATCCGTTTCTGGCTCTGGCAGCAACAGTAGTGCACCGGCTTCCCGAGTGCCTAGTGGAGGGGCAGGAGCAGGGGCGGTTGCAGCAGCAGCAGGTGTCAGTGGTAGTGGGTTTGGCATGGGGGAGGAGCGTGGGGAGAGGATGGGGCTCTTGGAGGGGCGTTCTCGTTTGCAGATTCAACAGGGCTTTCAGCTACGCCCATCTTCAAGTCACTTATGGGTCAGGTAACCACTGCAAGCTGACAGCCGATATTGCGAGGGGAATGTCACCAGGCTTTTTGAATTCTAGCGTTGTTTAACTTCGTTTCTGCCATTCTTTCCGTTCTGTGTTGCCTAGGCTAATGCGTCACCATTGTTCCCCGCTGACTACAGGTCAAGCTGGGGTCAATTCTCGGCGATGGCAGTCAAGTGACTCGCAACATTTCCAATTTACAGGAAATGTTCAACCAGCCATCACAAGCAGGTGGACTCTTCTCTTCCTTGACCAGTGCAGCTGCTGGCAGTTCGTCTCGTCTCCAAGAGTTGTTTTAAAAGTAGAATTGCTACCTTTGATGAATGTGTGCTAGTTGACTTGTTAGTGCTTTGATCTTCATGTAGGCACGAATCAGTGTTCCTTTTTTACTCATTTATACATGCGAGTTCCAACTTGGCGAGGACGCGTGTCTTTCGAATGATTCTCCACAGGATTCTCCAATACCAGCCACAGAAACCAAGGAGAACCGACTCGAAAGGCGATACTTTTCGATTCTGACAAGGATAAAGACGGGGCCGCGCGCCACATCAGCTCTATCCTTGAAATTACTGACGTGGGGACTTGCTGGCAGAGATGGCGGAACCGAAACCCCAACTTTTCTGGTCCATCGTTTCAGGTCTGCCCGAATCCTACATGGCAATGTGTTGTGAACAAACACCCGCAACCGGTCACCCGGAAACAAGATGCTGGTGTACGTGGCAGAGGTCGAACCTGTCGCAGCCACCCATCCGCCACGGATATGGTTGCACGAGGGTTACCGTTAGCCACGCGGCAATGCACGGCCAGGCAACCTCGTTGGAGGAACGGTCTCGCTTTTCCCTGTTCTGCTTGGCTGCTGACGGAGCTCCGCCACGAGTGACTAGGTAATGTGTGTTCCCTTGTCGCAGCCAACGCAACCACCAGCCAGATTCCGTCTCTCTCCGTCAGCTCAGTCAGGCTTCCCCGTCAGCCTAGGCAAAATGTCGAAGCTGGTGCTTCCTCCACCTTGGGATCTCCGTGAGCGACAAAAAGGGAAGCCTCGTCTTGAGTTTGGTACTCTCCACGACTCCCAAGACAGACTAACGAGATCAGAAAGTAGCTGATCTCTTGTGCTGTCACTCAGACCGGTTTATTCCCCTTCTCTTATCTCACACACACTCCGCAACCATGGAGGCTGTGAGGTGCAATATCGCTCAGGCTGCTTCAGTGGCTCCCGCCCTCCGTGGCGCGGAGACCAAGGCTTCCTTGGCCTCAATGAAGGCTCCTCTTGGCCTGTACTCCGGCCTGAGGAAGACCACCTCGGCTAAGGCTTCCAAGAAGAGCCGTGCTGCGGTGAAGGCTCAGATTGCCAAGGTCACTGCTACTGCTGCTGTCGAGGTCGCTGCTAAGACTGATGCCGCTCTCCTTGAGAAGGTACATTACAGACCGCTGCTGGCAAGCATTCTCTTCTCTTCTCGACGTATTATTTCACTATCGCATGTGAATTCGTCGTTAATTTTTTTGCCCGTGTCTCTTATGAATCATCGCTTGTTTTGCCTGCAGGCCATCAACTCTATCAGGTTCCTCGCCATCGATGCCGTCGAGAAGGCGAATTCCGGTCACCCCGGTCTTCCCATGGGCTGCGCTCCCATGGCGTTCGTGCTCTTCGATGAGTTCATGAAGTTCAACCCCAAGGACCCCTACTTCGTCAACCGCGACCGCTTCGTGCTCTCCGCTGGCCACGGTTGCATGCTCCAATATGCTCTGCTCCACCTTTTCGGATACGACAGCGTTCCGGTATGGTTTCGAAATCAATCTCCGCTCTTCAGCTATTTTCCCTATTTCTTGATGATTCAGCATCTAACGACGGCTATTCGGTTAATTATCAGATTGAGGAGATCAAGAACTTCCGTCAGTGGGTAGCAAGGCCCCTGGCCACCCCGAGCACTTCATCACTCCCGGTGTTGAGGTCACCACGGGTCCCTTGGTCAAGGTATTGCCAACGCTGTCGGTCTGGCTCTTGCGGAGAAGCACCTTGCTGCTCGCTTCAACAAGCCCGGCTTCGACCTGATCGACCACTACACGTAAGTAGTATGAAGAATTACGCTTACTCTGCTTTGCCTTTTAGGCTCGGGTCCCTTCTTTTTTAAACTTACATAATCTTCTCTTTGACTGAGCAGATATGTTATTCTCGGAGACGGGTGCAACATGGAGGGTATCTCCACCGAGGCTGCTTCCCTCGCCGGTCACTGGGGTCTCGGCAAGCTCATCGCTCTGTACGACGACAACCACATCTCCATCGATGGCAACACCGAGATTGCCTTCACCGAGGACGTGAGCGCTCGCTTCGACGCTCTCGGCTGGCACACAATCTGGGTCAAGGACGGCAACACCGACCTTGACGCCCTCCGCGCCGCCATTGAGGAGGCCAAGTCCGTCACGGACAAGCCCACCATGATCAAGGTAACTTTCCTAACCGATCGACATTGACGGCGAAGATAACTACAAACAAAACCTCATTTCAATCAGTTGATCGAACAAGAATGTAGGAGCTGAGGGTCATTTCTGTTTCGCGAGGGTGTACTTGGTACTAACCCGTCTCTTGTCCATTCCATTTCCAGATCACCACGACCATTGGCTTCGGTTCCCCGAACAAGGCCAACTCGTACGCCGTCCACGGTGCTGCTCTCGGTGCCAGCGAAGTCACCGCTACCAGGAGAACCTCAACTGGCCGTATGCTCCATTCGAAATCCCTGCGGAGGTCTACGAGTACGTTTCATGCTCCTAGATAAACATCGCTTTCATTTCATTGTCGTGCCGTTCCTTCGCTGACTTTTTTTCTCTCAACCTACACCTAACGCTTGTCGTTGCTAATCCCTGTTACCGTTCTAAACAGGCACACGCACAAGAAGATCACGGAGGGTGCTAAGTTGGAGGCTGACTGGAACGCTCTCCTCGCCAAGTACGAGAAGGAGTACCCAAGGAGGCCGCCGAGTTCAAGCAGCTCATCAGCCTCGAGCTCCCAGAGGGCTGGGAGAAGGCGCTTCCGGGTATGTGCACATCCTTTTGATTTGACTGTTGTTGCTCATGGTTCAGCATTTGGACGCGCATCCCGTTTTGTCGCGGTGCGAAGTTTTGTTTCTCACCCTGCTCCCGTTTCTGTTGGTTGTTATATTTTCGAAACATCGTCGTTAATCTTGGATGCAGACCTACACCCCTGACATGCCTGGCGATGCTACCCGCAACCTGTCCCAAGTGATGCTGAATGCCCTCGCTGACGTTCTTCCCGGCCTGTTGGTGGTTCCGCCGATCTGGCCTCCTCCAACATGACCCTCCTGAAGAAGCACGGCAACTTCCAGAAGGACACCCCTGCTGAGAGGAACATCCGTTTCGGTGTGCGCGAGCACGCCATGGGAGCCATTGCCAACGGTATCCAGCTGCACTTGACCGGTCTCATCCCCTATGTGGCCACCTTCTTCATCTTCTCCGACTACATGCGCAACGCCATTCGTATCTCTGCGCTCGGCGAGACCGGTGTCATCCAGGTCATGACCCACGACTCCATCGGCCTTGGAGAGGACGGCCCACTCACCAGGTGAGCTTTTCGAGTTACGCATGTATTCACGTCTCGTCTGGGCAGCATGGGTGATGTTATGGACCAACAATGTGAATCTTTCACATGAAGGCGTTGGACTGGCTTGTACTGCATAGGCATAGTCGTTCCCCGTCTGATCATGTATCTTACCTATTCCGCTCCGCTCCTGTACCTCCCCCTCCTCTCCCCTCCCCCCCCTCCCCCCCCTCCCCCCCCCCCCTTTTCCCTCTCTCCTTTCCCCACAGCCTATTGAGCACCTGGCGTCTTTCCGCGCCATGCCCAACCTGCTGATGATGAGGCCTGCTGACGGCAATGAGACTGCGGGGTCATACAAGGTGGCTGTGCAGAACAGGAAGAGGCCCACCGTGCTCGCTCTCTCCCGCCAAAAGCTGCCCAACCTTCCCGGCACCTCCATTGAGGGCACCGAGAAGGGTGGATACACCATCAGGTAAACTTCCTTGGCTATCAGACGACTCCTTCATCAGGAAACTCTCCTGGCTAAATAATCGGCAATGGTGTGATTGACTCTGCCTCTATTCTCCCCATGCTAGTCTCAACCTGTCTCTGCTTTCTCACCCTGTCCTATCTCCAGCGACAATCCTCTGGCAAGCCTGACGTGATCCTCATGGCCACTGGCTCTGAGCTCGAGATGGCTGAGAAGGCGGCCAAGATCCTCAGGGACGAGGGCAAGGGCGTGCGCGTTGTCTCCATGGTCTGCTGGGAGCTGTTCGAGAGCAGCCAGAGGAGTACAAGAAGTCTGTCTTCCCCGATGATGTGCGTGCCCGGTGTCTCGGTTGAGGCTGGCTCCACCCTCGGCTGGCACAAGTATGTGGGTGACAAGGGCAAGGCCATTGGTGTTGACGACTTTGGTGCCTCCGCCCCTGCCAACATCCTGTACGAGAAGTATGGCATCACTGTAGATGCCGTGGTTGCTGCTGCCAAGGCCGCCATGGAGGCGTAGGCTGGGCTAGTTTTGTCGGAGTAGGATCCGAGCAATGTGGCTCTTTTTGTTTTGCTGAACTTGTGACTCATTATTTCCAGATAGCTGCAAATACTTCTCACACCACACCAGAGTTGGCTATATCTAGTTTCCGAAACCATGCTTTCACTAGGGCGCTACACGCACATTGAAGCGATATTTGAAAACGGGGTTATCTCATCTTCTGTCGCGTACGAGACATGCATACTGTTTGAATGCTAACTAAACTGGAGAGAAGGGGCTGCCATGAAATGGCGGCCAGATGTTTAGTTAGGGGAGGGAAAGATGTGTCGAGAGAGAAAAAGATGTACGACTAGAAGAGAATGTGGTACAAGAAGGGGAGTTATCCCCTCTACAGTAGGATGCAGCTTGTAGGACAACTACCAAGCCTACAGTTATATAAAATATAACTTAACACACCCCCTAGGCTTGGTAGGCACAAGCCCCCCAAAACACACACCCCCTAACCCCGTGCACCCCAATGCCCGAGATTAGCCGGGACAGCAGCTGCGGCAGGAGGAAGAGGAGACGCAAGGAGAAGGGGTGGGGCGGGGAGAAGGGGCCGAAGGTTCAAATCTTCAGCGCGGCGCCGAAACTGGCGCGGCGCTTACTGGCGGGGAGGAGGGGCCGAATCGGCAAATCTTCAGCGCGGCGCCTGGAATGGTGCAGCGCTTACTGGCGGGTAGGCAGACTGCAAGTCAAGCGACTGCAGCACGACGACAGCTGCTGCAGCCCAGCGCCATTGCCACGGCACCGAGACGACGCCTCCACTATCAAAGTGAGAAAACTGAATGAGTTGAGTAGAGAGAGTACAGGTGAATATACCTAAGTGTTGTACCCTCTAAGAGGTGGCCCTATACAGTCTA